TTTGTGATTCAAGTTGTCTTTCGCCTAGTGAAAGAAGCAAATCGTAGAACCTACCGTGCCAGACGCACAAAAAGTATCAATCTTTTTAGATTCTCTTGTTCTCAACCTCAGAAATCATGAAATTTTTATTAATTATCTTCATCACTGCAATATTTACAGTCTTATCTTTCTCGATATATTCTTGTGATTCAAGTTGTCTTTCACCTAGTGAAAGAAGCAAATCGCAAAACCTACCGTGCCAGACGTACAAAAAGTATCAATCTTTTTAGCTTCTCTTGTTCTCAACCTCAGAAATCATGAAATTTTTATTAATTATCTTCATCACTGCAATATTTTCAGTCTTATCTTTCTCGATATGTTCTTGTGATTGAGATATAATAATTTTGTGATCATGGTCATGTTTAATACGACGAAATTGATATAAAAATGCAATTTAGGCGAGGGTGTTAAGGATCGTAACAAAAAAAAAGAAATTACCCTCCATTAGTTTTAAGAGGGCACCGTCAATTTTGCTATTACCTCGCGGCAATGGAAACCAGTCTAAGGGGATCTGGCTCGAAAATCCCTGCAGCTTCCTGCAGAATTAACATACCCTTAAATCTGCATAATACGCCAAACCTGCCTGGCTTATCTCGATCCGCACGTTGCACTCTCGTTTGTTTGTTTTTCCTATCTTCCTATAAACTGCGCGAACGAAACAACGCGTCATCTGCTTCGAATGTTTCATCGTCGTTCTACGTCTTCCTGAAAACCATCGCGTAGTTTAAAGAACGTAGATCGACGAAAGATGATTCTTCAATCGCGAAGAAATAAATAGATTTTATGTAAAAGTAACAACCGACAACGTCCTGCGCCCTTAAAAACCTGCTACCAGACTTATTACACAACCTCGGTCTCTAAAATATTTCTCACTCGCGAATGGAAACTTTAGCCAGGCTCGTTCAATCTTCCACGAACGTGAATTCATTTTCCACGTTCATTTGACAAGAGAAAACGGTTGGAGAACTTTCTCAATTTGTCCGAAGGGACAATGAAAACTCGCCGCTCGCAGAGTCTAGTAATGTAGATCGACTTATCTCGCCAGCTAGCCGAAATAGTTTATTTTCCCTGTGTTGTACGTCGGTTTGAGAGCCTCTGCAAACAATCTAGTCGCGCAGCGACGCGTGTGACGCGCAAAATGCGGGCTCCTCGGACCATCGACCCTCCTCCACCCTCGGCTGAACCGCCGGAGCTCGATGCTCTTGGAAAAAGTCGGGGGAGAGACAGAGAAAGGCAGACGTCTTGTTGCTGCACCCTCAGAACCGGACGCGTGCCACGTTCCACGGACCAAGATAATTGCGAATAACACTGCGACAAACGGCTCAGATACCGCTGCCTGATATCGCGTTTTTAGGGTGGAGACTTTTCTGTTGAGATATATATACACATTTATGGTCCCTGTTTCGCTGGTGGGTGGTACTAGATGCAGTTCTCTGAGATACAGACAGACAAATGTGTGTGATAAGCAGTTTTGGATACTTCAATGATTGGCGATGTTGCTGATTGGAAGTTGGCTATATCTTTCGAAAGTATTCGGGACGGGATTAATTTAAATAATGAAAAGATCGAATTCTTTTTTGTTAAAATTGCAAGCACTCGTTTGTATTTTTGCTAGGCTTCTTTAATGTAATTGTCAAAAATTGGAAACAATGTTCTTTTTGCTAAATTTGCAGATATCCCTCATGTAAAGCAATCTCAAAGTTACAGACGTGTCAAAGGGGAGAACTTAGTCTCTGATAGACTAGCGTCATACGTCAATCACGTAATACCGTGAGATTAAAATGGCCAGACGCCACCCTAGAAATTCTCACTCGCGTCTTCGGTCTTAATACTAAAGGAACGGTATTTGCAGGAAAACGTAACGGGACTCTGGTGGTTTTCACTCAGGAAACCTCCCGAGTATATTCGTTGGTTATCAAAGGTTATCGCGCACCCGGGGGAAAAAGTCTTTTCGTGGCCGGATATTCAATGGAGTGAATCCATCAATTCTCGGGATCAAGGGATCTGCGTTATTTTAGAGAGTGATAGGATATAGGTTTCGGGGGTGGGAAAAAATCCTACGTCATATGAACATAAATTTCGCGAGGAAAAATAACATCCACTGCTAAGAAAAAAAAAAGAACTACCATTTTTCTTTTTGCTCCTTAATCTGTTTTACAATCCCAAAATTTGAACAAGTCCTTTTACAATCCTAATGTATCTTCTTTTTTAATTCTTCCTTGATTCCTAATTTTTTCTTTCTTCTTCTGAATAACTTAGTAGTAATTCTGAATTAAGTTTAAAGTATCATAGCGTAGAAAGTTATTATTAGATAATAAAAGCTGATGCTATCGCAATTTTACTTCGCGTCTGACCACGCGCGTTCCGCATCTACTTAACGATCACACGTTCCACTGTTTTCTCGTTTCACCGCAAAGCCAAGCAAATTATCGTTTCCTGACCTGTGTCCTGACGAAAGCACTCTTGGCATCTCGAGAATAGATTCCTGAAACTATGGTCAACGTATTTGATTTAGTGTAACTATGATTCTGTATAGACACGATGTTGGAATATTGATGTACACTTCAAAACTTGTGTCTATTGAGATGATTCATTTTTTAATCAATAAATAAAAGAAATGTTAATTGAACTGACAAGCTGATTCGAAATGAAATAACTGAAAAGAAAGGCGAGATAGAAATCTCGACAGAGAAATGTGGTTACGTAGTTCGCGTACGAGAAACAGTAGAATCCGAACACTTGCTCCCCTAGTGGCATCAGAAGGCAGACTCCCATCGAACAGAAGCATTAACCCTGATCCTGGCGCGATGTTCAGCAGAGCGGATGACAACGTACTCAGCGAGCGGCTTAAAGCTCTCTTCCCGCTCTTTCCATTCACGTGCCTTTAACGTCCAACCTCGCTGTTCCACGCCGCGAACGTTGGCTGTGCAATTTTTGGCCACGTGCCACGTCCGTGTTATTAATTACCACGCCATTAGACACCACGTCTTCGAGCAATCACGATTTTAAAGGAACTGGGACATCAGCTTGACTCATAGCAGAAACGATTAATCCCGAATGCCGAATCATGGTGAAAGGACTGTTTCGTGAACTCGGCGCAGACATACTTTCTCGAGAATTGCAGTTTCATTGTCCAATTGTCATCGCTGGGACGGCTGTATCTGTCGAATTAACGAGTTTCAGGATATTTATGGTTTCAATTAGTAGGAAGATGCGGACACTTTTTGTAGTAGGAGGATGCTCGTTCAATTATGAGAAACTTAGAGAAACGCGAAAATTCAGAGAATGCGCATATATATATATATATAAAATACGAACGATATTCAAACTGTAGTGGTTATAATATCTGAAGTGAGCTGAATAGAATAATTCCTTCTTTCCGCTCGTGACATTTTCAGGGCATCCCCATTTTTTCAACCAATTATCTTGCGGTCTCGATCTCGTCTCGATGGCTGGCGAATGGCTGACAGCAACAGCGAACACGAACATGTTCACCTACGAGATCGCGCCGGTGTTCATTTTGATGGAGCACGTGGTGCTTCAAAAAATGCGAGAGCTCATCGGCTGGAGCGGTGGCGACTCCATTCTCGCACCGGGAGGTTCTATCAGCAATCTTTATGCGTTTCTCGCTGCTAGACACAAAATGTTCCCTGCTTACAAGGAACGAGGTCTCGCTGCTATCGGGGGACAGCTGGTTATGTTCACGTCTGACCAGGTATACTTTCTTCCACTTACAACATCTTCTTCGTGTTTCTTCATTCTCGTGTAGAATGATGTATCTTTTTATTTTTACTTTTTGACA